ATACATTCAAGGTCACGAAAGGGACAATCTCCAACCAGGAATACTACACCCAGGAAGATGGTTGTTCAGAACCGAACGAGAGAAAATTTCCCAGACAAGCAAAAGCTAAAGGAGTTCACCACAACTAAACAGGTATAAGAAGAAATGTTAAAGGGACTTCTTTAAGCCTAAAAGACCAAAACTAAAAATAAAATACAGGAATTAAAAAAGCTCACTAATAAAAGCAAACACTTGAAAAAAAGTAGTGACCAACCAATTAATTATACAGCAAGTATGAAGATGAAAACACAAAAGTCGTAAGATTATGTGTAAATACGACCATAAATTAAGGGATACATTCACAGACACAAAACCAAACTGGGACAAGGTGAGTAAAATGCGCAATGGTTTTAGAATGCGTTTGCCTTGAGCAACATCAACTTAAGACAGACTGCTATGAACGCAGCGTGATCCACATGAATCTCATGGAAACCACCAAAAACCTCTAAGATGTACACAAAAATTAAAGAGAAAGGAATTCAAACAAATACCTACAGAAAATCATCTATGTACAAGAGAACTGGAAAGACAACTAGAAAAAAATCAATAAAACAGCAATAACTACGTGAAATAAGTAAGTATAATGAACTAGATGTTCCAATCAAAAGACATGAGTGGCTGCATGGATTTAAAACAGAAACAAAAAAACAAGACCCAGAGATATACTGTCTAGAAGAGGCTCCCATCAAAGTGAAAGATACACTCAGACAAAAAGTAAAAAGATGGGAAAAATGTATTTCAGGCAAGTGGAAACAAAAAAGCTGAGGCAGCATAACTTGTATCAAACAAAACAGACTTTAAAACAAAGGCTATAACAAGAGACAAAGAAGGGAATAATTATAAAGAGGCCAATCCAACAAAAAATACAGTTCTATAGAAGTAAACATCTACACAGCCATGTAAGGGGACACCTAAATACATAACAGCAAATATTAACAGGTCAAGGGAGAAAGGGACAGTAACAGAGTAGGGGACTTTAATACCCCACTTACATCAGTGGTTAGATCATCCACACAGAAAATCAACAAGGAAACCATGGCCTTAAAAGATACATTAGATTAGACTGATGTAACAGATGTTTACAGATAATCCCATCCCAAACAGCAGAATATACATTTTTCTCAAGGCCACATAAGACAACTTATAAGACAGAAAACATGATGAGCCACAAAAGGAATCTCAATAAATTTAAGATGACTAAAGTCAAGCAATTTCTCTGATCATAATAGTATGAAACTAGAAATCAATTATATGAGAAAAACTGGAAAAAACACAAACAGGGAAGGCTAAATAACATGCTACTAACATTTAATGTGTTAAGAAATCAAGGAGGCCCTGGCTGGTATGGCTGAGTACACTGAGCACCAGACTGCAAATCAGAGAGTTGCAGGTTTGACTCCCAGTCTGGGGCACATGCCTGGGTTGCAGTCCCCAGCAGGGGGACTGCAAGAGGTAACCTCACATTGTTTCTTTCCCTCTTTTAATCTGGCCCTTCCCCTCCATCTAAAAATAAATAATTTTTTTTTAAAGAAATCAAGAGACAATTAAGAGATACCTCAGGACAAATGAAAATGGTAACACAGTGACCCGCCCCTCCACAATCTATGGAACACAGCAGAAGCAGTTCTAAGAGGGATATTCATAGCAATACAGGCCTACCTCAACAACAACAAAAATTCACATAAATGATCTTTCTCCCTAAAGGAACTAGAAAAGAAGAACAAACAAAACCCAAAGTTAGTGAAAGGTAGGAGACAATAAGGATCAGGGTGGAAATAAATGAAATAGAGACTAAAAAAACAATAGAAAAAAAGATCAATGAAACTAAGAGCTGATTCTTTGAAAAGATAAACAACATTAATAAATCTTTAAGGAGGCTCATTAAAAAAAAAAGCACCTAAGAGGTTCTAGCCAAGATGGAGGCATAAGCAGAAATACTTCGCTTCCTCCTACAACCAAGAGAAGGATAACAAGTAACTTAAAAACAAAGAACCAGAACTGCCAGAAAGTCATCTGCATGGAAGTCAAACAATCAAGGACTTAAACATCCATCCAGACTGGTGTGCCCAGGCAAAGAAATATGGTTCAAATAAAAGAACAGATCAAAACTCCAGAAAAAGAACTAAGTGACAAGGAGATAGTCAACCTATCAGATGCATAGTTCAAATCTCTGGTAATCGGGATGCTCACAGAACTGATTGAGCTAGGTTACAAAATGAAGGAAGAAATGAAGGCTATACAAAGTGAAATAAAGGAAAACATACAGGGAATGAAAAGTGAAGGGAAGGAAACCAAGACTCAAATCCATTATTTGGACTAGAAGGAAGAACTAAACATCCAAATGGAACAGAATGAAGGAACAAGAATTCATAAACATGAGGAGAAGCTAAGGAACCTCCAGGACAACTTTGAACGCTCCAACATCTGATTGACAGGGATGCCAGAAAGAGAAGAGGAAGAGCAAGAAATGGTAATTTTATTTGAAAAAATAATGAAGAACTTCCCCAATTTGATGAAGGAAATAGACTCCCAGAAGTCCAGAAAGCTCAGAGAGTCCCAAAGAAGTTGGACCCAAGAAGGAACACACCAAGGCACATCATAATTACATTACCCAAGATTAAAGATAAGAAGAGAATCTTAAAAGCAGCAAGACAAAAGGAGAGAGTTACCTACAAAGGAGTTCCCATCAGACTGTCAGCTGATTTCTCAAAAGAGACCTTACAGGCAGGAAGAGGCTGGAAAGAAGTATTCCAAGTCATGAAAGTTAAGAATGTACATCCAAGATTACTCTATCCATCAAAGCTATCATTTAGAATGGAAGGGCAGATAAAGTGCTTCCCAGATAGGGTCAAGTTAAAAGGATTCATCATCAGCAAGCCCTTATTATATGAAATGTTAAAGGGATTTATCTAAGAAAAGGAAGATAAAAAAAATGAATAGTAAAATAGCAACAAATTCACAGCTATTAACAACCTAAAAAAAACCAAAGCAAACAATAAAACAGGAACAAAATCATAAATATGGAGAGCACATGGAGAGTTATCAGTAGGGCAGGGGGAGAGAGTGGGGAAAGGTACAGAGAATAAGTAGCATAAATGGTAGGTACAGAATAGACAGGGAGAGGTTAAGAATAGTACAGAAAATGTAGAAGCTAAAGAACTTACATGTACCACCCATGCACATAAACTAAAGATGGGGAATGTGGGTGGGAGGGGGTAGTGGGGGAGAGGAAAATAAAGGGGGGAAAAATGGGACAACTGTATTTGCATAATCAACAAAATATTTTTTTTAAAGGAAAGAAGGAAAAGGAGCTCAAATTAAAAAAAAAAGAAAAACAAAAGTGAACCCTAATGCACTTGGTGGGAATGCAGACTGGGGCAGCCACTATGGAAAACAGTAGGAATATTCTTCAAAAAGTGAAAAATGGAACTACCATATGACCAGGAATCCCAGTTCTGGATATTTACTCAAAGAAACTGAAAACACCAGTTTGAAATTAGGGTTCATTGCAGCATTACTTAACATAACCAAGACATGAAAGCAACCTAGATGTCTACTGACAAAGAATATGAGGTACACAGGTATAATGAACTATTACCCATAAAAAATGAATATTATCATTTGCAACAACATGGATAGACCTAGAGCATAGTATGTTAAACTAAGTAAAATAATCAAACAATTATTGCATGATTTTACATATATATGAAATCTAAGATACAAAATATAAGAACCAAAAAAAGAAAAAAAAGGTATAGATAAAAGAAACACATTCAGATACAAAGAATAAACTGATGTTACCAGGTGGGAGGTTGATGAGGGGAAGGGTATTATGAATAGAAACTGTTCACAATACAGTTATGAAATTATAACTATTAAAAGTTATAAAATTAGTCACAGGAATGTGAAGTGCAGCATAGGCAATATAGTCAATAATACTGTAATAACTATGTACGTGGTGCAGCCACTGTGGAAAATAGTATGGAGAGACCTCGAAAAATTAAACATGGACCTGCCTTTGATCCTGTGATCTCGCTTCTGGGAACACATCCAAAGGAGCCCAAAACATTAACTTGAAAGAACATAAGCACTCCTACAGTCATTGCAGCATTATTTACAATCACCAAGATATGGAAGTAGCCCAAGTGTTCATCAGTAGATGAGTGGATAAAACAACTATGGGACAGTTACACAATGGCATACTACTCAGCCACGAAAAAGCAGAAAATTTTACCTTTGTGATAGTATGGAAGGACCTAGAGAACATTATGCTAAGTTAAATAAACCAGTCAGAGAAAGACAAATACCGTATGATTTCACTCATATGTGGAATCTAATAAACAAACTGAACAAGCAAAACAGAGACAAACTCACAGAGAGCAGATGACAGCTACTGAGTAGGGAAGTTAGGGGGTAGAGGGATCGAGCAAAAAGGAAAAAGGACCCATGTACATGGATAACAGTGTGGTCACTGTAGGGAGGAGGGGGCAGAAGGGAGTTAAATGGTAGTAAAAAAATTATAATGAAGAATTTAAAAAAAACAAAACAACCAAACAAATATGTATGGTGCCAGATGGGGTCTAGACTCATCTCACAGTGATCACTTCATGAAGTATATTGAAGTATATAAATGTCCAATCACTACTGAATGCCTAAAACTAATATATATTGTATATTAAATAAATTAAAGACAATATAGTTATAGTTAACTATAGTTAACAGGGTATTGTCAGGATATACCCTGACCATATAGTTAACGGGGGGATATAGTTAACAGGGTATGGTCAGGAATTTTTTAAAAAGGCACTCTTTTCAAGGCTTATACATACACTTACAATCTTAAGCCAATCAGCCCTCATCCTCATAGGAGGAGAAATCTACTCAGTCTCCTCTATGGAGGGACAGCCTTCACTTCTCACACAGGTGCTACCTATAAACAGCATCATCTGGTCAGGACCTACCTTGCTTGTCTGATTCGGTTTGATCCCAGGCCCTCGAACCAACAGTGGAACTTTGATATCAAACTCGTACAGCTGCCTTTTGTCTATCGGCAAAGAAAATTGTCCTGAAAACAAAATGCACAGGGTGAAGGTAGAGCCCACACTGGAAGTGTCATACATATCTTCATTCATTTAATCAACAGCAAAACCAAAACAAGTTTGTCCCACTAATTATGGTGTTTAAATAGGTCTATATTTGCCTGGGTTTCATTACTACAAGGCAAATTTAGTAAATTCCTAGGGGGACTCCCTGGTCTATGCTGGGGCAATTCAGCTACGAGAGTGACAGGAAGTACTGAAACACAGATACATAATTTATGTATGATACTCAACCTGATCATAATTAAATGAGGTTATTCTGAAAAATGCCAAATAAAGGGACAAAAAATATGTATCCTGCTTTTCCTGAATAAAATGAATTCCAAGAAAACCAAACAGCTGATGGGGGGAAGTTCTTCCGCTAATAAATGCAAAAAGACAAAGCTATGAAGCCAATATTGAGCAATTTCTGCGGGAATAATGCACTTAAGCGTCCATGGAAGCTTTAGCCACAAAAAGTTCACAAGATAGGCTCAGACTGACATGACATAGGCCATCAATCAATACTAGCATCCCTCAATTGGGGCAACCAGACACCAAGGGCATCAGGAAATGATGCAACAGGAAGTACATAGCAGGATCACCAAGAAAGCATCCTTGCTGAAATGTGACTTTCTCTTAAGACTCTAGATCTGACTACCAATCTATAGGAAAAGCTGGGTATAAGTAAACAAGTAAAGCCAACATAAAACAGCAATTAGCCAAAGCCAAAACATGAGATATTCTAAAGGACAAAAGACCAGTTTTTCCAGTAGGTCAGTGGCAAAAACAGCTTTAATGAAACATAAAAACTAAATGTAACGTGTGTACTCTGTTTACATCCTGATACCCAATAAACTAGTCAGATGCACAATCAAGTGTGGAATCACAATTTCTGGAGTCTCTTCAAAACCTTCTAGCTAAAAAAGAAAACCATAAGGAAGGTAGGAAGAATTCAAGACTGGCCACATGCAACTGAAAATTGAAACTGGGTAATGGTGTTATTGTATTAGTCTCTACTTCGAGTGCTTAGAAATATTCACAACAATATATGAAATGCCCCATGAGCCTGCTCTATGGAAGCAAGCTTCAGGTCAATTCCACTCAAGTTCATGCAATTTATAGGTGGGAAAAGAACACACTGGTTTTTAACTACAGAGGTCCAAGTAGAAAGGACGAAACTCAAAGACAGGACACTGACTTACAATGCAGTTTTAAAAAGACAACAAAACAAAACCCACGTATACACACACAAACATAAAAAAACCCTAATTTCATAATTTTGTAAGAAAGAGCCTTTCCCCCAAGACAACCTTCTCTTGATCTTCCTGTGTGAAATGTCTCTCCCCTGTTCTCTCAGACCTATCTGCCCTTGAAATCTAGTTCAATTTCTTACCTCCTTCATAAATCTTACCTCCAAACCATCAAGCTAAGATCACTCTGCTACCGACTCCTAGAACACCATGTAATTTAAAATATGACTCAGCAAATAGTGAAACGTGATCCCTCCATGTGGGAATGAGATGGCCCTTTAACCAGAGGGGTCCTGAAGGCAAAACCCTCCTTCTGGCTTCTAAACTGCCATGAAAGGACCAGAGCTCCCTGCCAGTGCTACTGGTTGGGTGAAAAAGGAGGGGCACCTCACGGGTCACAGGACACCTAAGCATGCCCCTTACCTGTGTGATAGCCATTATCAGAGGTATAAAAGATATAAGTGTTGTTGAGCTCCCCATTGAACTCCAATCTCTTGACCAGTTTCTCCACAAGGTCATCAACTGAGAGTAGAGTTTGCCACCTGCATGGGGAACACAGGGTGGCAAATGGGACCTCAGAGATAAAGAGTCAGGGCAACCTGCAAAACCTCAAAACCATTCTCCCCAAAATGGGAGAAATTTAATTTTAGAACACTTGCCTCAGATCAAATTTAACTGTTTCCGAATGAATGACTTATTTTTTTAAAAAAGAATTTACTTATTCACACGCCCCCTACTAGGGACCTGGCTTGAAACCCAGGCATGTGTCCTAACTGGGAATCAAACCAGTGTCTCTTTGGTTTGCAGTCCGGCCCTCAATCCACTGAGCCACACCAGTCAGGGATAAATGAGGCTTTTTATAGCCAGTTAGCTTTATTATCTGTTGTCACTGGTGATGAGAGCCAAGACAACTGCAAGGGCAAGCTGTCGATTCAGCACTGACTATTAGAGTAATTTAAACAGAACTGTGCCTTAACAGTGTTTTATGATTTAAACTCGGGGTTGGCAAACTATAACAACTGGTCAAAGCTTGCCCACTCCTTGTTTTTTGTTTTTATATTGTGGTAAAACACAAATAACATAAAATTTACCATCTTAAAAATTTTTATGTGTACAAGTCAGTAATATTAAGTATATTCATATAGTGAAACAGATTTCCAGGACTTTTTTCAGCTTATAAATCTGAAACAACCCACTAAACAACTGCCTCTTTTGACATACACATAAAGTTTTATTGGAACACAAGCACGCTCCCTCACACGCACACCGCCTATGGCTGCTTTCCTGCTTCAACAGCACAGCTGAGCAGCTGCGATGGAGACCATGAGGCCTGCAAGCCTGTAACATTTACTATCTGGCCCTTTACAGAAAAAGTTTGCCAACCCATCTAAACTATATACACTTTAAATAATGGATTAAAAATTTTTTATTTAAAAGAATTTCCTGAAAGTTCCAGACAGCAAAGGTAAATATTTTGCTCTCAACTAAGCCTTTGGGTCTTATGTAAATATTGGGTGACTGATCTCTAACAAACTGACCTTTTCTTTAGATACAGGAAACTTAAAAAAAAATCCAATGGCTTCAGTTTGCAATGTTTTAACAAGTCATAAAAATGGATTAATCAGTCCTGGGATCCAAAAGTCATCTAACACACCCAAATGTAAAGGAATCTTTGGCTGTTTCTAAGGTAAGAGACTGCCACTCACCCCTCTCAAAAAAAAAAAAAAAAAGAATCTCTCCCATCAACTTGTTTCCCTCTGATTTTGCCTCAAAGATAACCATGTGGTACAGTTCCCTGTTCATTGGCTGATCTGTAGGGTCTGCAAACACCACCCAGATTGAGAAAGTAGCGACTCTTACCTTTTTCTAAATGCATTATCTAAGAACTGTATTGAAGAATTAGTCATTGGGGTCTTGGCTTGCCTAATTAACCAGTGCTTGTTCTGAAATTTAAAAGAAAAAAAAAGGTTAACACCACGTCACCCAAATAAACTGCTTTAGTAAATAATAAAAGGGGTCATTTTATACTTCAGCAAAGAGGAACTGGAGACTAAGCAACAGACTTTCCCTCCTCCCCATTTCCCTCCCCTGCATTCTTTAAAAAAAAAACCTTTCCATAGATTATCACTCACTGTTTACATTCTTCCTACCACTTTCCAAATGGCACTGGGCTCTTTTTGTCAGTAGCATTAGTAAGAGATGTAGAGAGAGATATTGGGAAACTACTGGCTAAAAGAAGTTTAAACTTATAACTCTGAGTCTATGCTTTGGGAACACTACCCGGCCTACAAAAGGGTAAAGATTAACTTTACCCCTTTCAAGTTTTGCCTAATAAGTCAACATTTCATTATTTTCAATTTTCTTACCCAAGACATCGATCATCTTAAAACTGTTGGGAAAATCCCGTCATAGCAATTTCCTAAACATCAAATCCAAATCTGGAGGATTCTTTTCATTTAAATAAAAAAATCACAGTTTTTAAAAAACAACAACATTCCCATATGCCATTAACGATCTTCTTTCTCCTTGTTCTTAAAACCCTAAGTTGCTATCTTCCAAACTCTGGTCCTCACAGTGGTCTTGTTAGTGTTGGAGAAATGCTACACGGCACGTTGTCCTCCTGGATATTCACGTAAGAACATGAATAACTGTGAGAAATCCTGTCGGCAGAGTGACTTATTCAACCTAAAGTTTCTGCACTTACTTGATCAGGGGAACTCCTATCAGTTTTTTTTTGAAATGCAGTTTGAGAATGCCGTCTAGTTTAAAACTCAGCTTTTTAAAATCATACTTAACATGCTTACAATATTCCAGGCAACACACTACATGTTTGTATGTACTCTAATCCACACAGTGGCTGCACGAAAACTGGATGCTAGTGTCTGGCTCGTTGTCAGGTCACTAAGCTGAAAGGTGGTAGCACTCAGTCTAACGCCAAGATTCATTCTTTCCACCACCTCACAAGCGACTAAGATTTCTGGGTAACAAACAGGCATGAGGCATTAGGGGCCTTCTGCATTTGAACCAGTGAACTGCCCTATGCCAGGGGACGGATAAGTAACTGCCATATAAGGTAAACATTTAGGCTGCGGCCCTCAATTACGGTATATTCCCTGCTCTGGCTCACTGCCCAACTTCCCTTCCCAATCATACTGCACGGCGTCACCCCTCCTCTTTCTGTGCCCCAGGCCTGGCGAAGGCCACCCAGAGGAGGCTGCAGGGCCAGCCCAGCCCCAAACGATAGGTCTCAGCCACTGCCTGGCAGAATTTTCATCAGGACAGCCTGTAGTCAAGAAAGATGCCAGCTCTTTAACATTCCCTCTGGATTCTCTAGCTGTTCACTGGATGTGTAGCAAGAACCTTATTTGCGTTCCTGTAGCCAGTTTATACTATCTATCCTACAAGACATAGGTGTAATTACCTTAAAAAGTTACGGAAAGCCAGCGACATAGCTCAAGGCTCTCTGACAAGTATGTTATACATTATACAAGTATATATTGAGTATATATATCCAAGGATCAGAGAAGCTACCGTTCCATGGATGTTGAAGTTCTTGTTCCTCGGTGCAAAGACGTTCTGGAAGGTCTGCTGGTACTGAGGTGCGGCTGTCCAAGGCGAGTGAGGTGCTGGAGTGGAGATCATCATGAAGAATGGTTCAAAGTTGGACTTGTAATCCAGGAAGTCCAAGGAGACATTAGCCTGACACACACAAAGATTTGTCATCTCCTACCCTACCCAACAGCTGTGGACTCGAAAGATACACGTTCTCCGATGAACAGAAAAGACAGGGTCACGCTAGCTTTGAACAAATCTCAGCACACAATCTACATCATAGTCAAACAACAAGCATGCTGTTGGAACAACTATTTGGCTTTTAGGCGATACTAATAATAAAAAACTGGAAAGCACACTGGCATAAGAGGCAATTAAGATGTTGATGATTTTACAGGATCAAAAAAGTGTTAGGCCTCCCACTGGAAAGAAATAGTAATTTGGCCATTTTAGTACTAACTTACATTAAGGCACCTTAGTGTATATACATTTTGATGCCTTAAAAAATATAAAAATAAAGCCCTGGCTGGTATAGCTCAGTGGATTGAGCACGGGCCTGAGAACCAGACAATCACGGTTTGATTCCCAGTCAGGGCACATGCCTGGGTTGCAGGCCAGTTCCCTGCAGGCCAGTTCCCAGCAGGGGACGCACGAAAGACAACCATACATTGATGTTTCTCTCCCTCTCTCCTTCCCTTTCCCTCTAAAGATAAATAAAATATTATACAAATATTATATAAATAAATATATATAAAAATAGAGTCAATCTAATTCACAACAGTAGGAAAGGTGGATTAAATTACCTTAATCTCACAAAAATATGTAGAGAGCAGATATCCTAAGTTATGTCCAAATAAATTCACCAGGTCTTTAATTGATAAGGACTTACATGTGTCATTGGCTTATTTGGAGATGAAATGTGAAAACGAAAGCATCCCACATACATATCACATTTAATTGTTCTGGTTGATTTATATCTTCGTTTATTCCCAACACCAAACTCAAAGGGAACTGACTGCCTCGATGTGCTGTCCCCATCCTGCCCGCCCATCTCCTCCGGCCTCATGACAGGCCCGTGGCACTGCATCAGGCCCGGCACACCTGCCCAGCGGCCCCGACTCTGCTCCCCTCCTGTCTGCGGACTCTCCTGACCTGCACAGCTCACTTTCACCTACTTCGGGGTTGTGCTTAAATGTTACCTGAGTGATCCCCAAACCCAGCCTCGTTTCCCTAACTGATCATCATCTAACAAGGTAGAAAGTGTACACACACATACACACACACACACACACACACACACAAAATCTGCCACTAAATAGTCACCTTTCACAGAACCAAGGACTGTGCCCCATTTAGGGCTTGAACACCCACTACAACGAGGGCTAAAACATTTGGTGAAGGAATGGTCCAGGGAGGGCCGTCATGAGAAACACCACAGACAGGAACGTCCCAAATTCATCCCATTCTGGCATTCTTTATACATAAATACAAAACACTGAAGAACTCCCATACCCCGATCACCCCTACCCTCATGATGAAGCTGCCATCTTGTAGCTCGTGAGAAAAACTGGGGTCAAGAGTAGGAACCTTACAAAGTAAAATCTCTTTAAGTGATCTATGTAGTCTTGGAGATAGCGTCTGAAAAAGGGACTTGTTGCTGGAATTTCAAGAACATTACCTGAGCCTACCTTATATACAAAAAAAAAAAAAACCACACTCAGGAGTTTTTAATCAGTTGGAAATATTCTTTGGCAGTTAGATTGAGTTATTATTCATTCACATTACCCAACAGGAACAAATACAACTAAAAGTTTTTTCGGCAAAGTCTTTAATCAAATGTGAGCCAAACCTGCAAGGACAGTGTGTCAGTAACTCACCAAAACATCTGTCAGGTAGTCCATACTGTAGTTTTCACCATGCTTTCGTGCCTTCCCATTGATAGAGAGGGTATAATTATAGTACTTAGAATTCTTTTCCTATCAGAGAGAGGAAAATAAAATGCATTACAACATCAGCAAACAAACTGAAAGCCAAAAACCATGCTAGGCTAACCTATATGTTTAAATAGTGATAAGACATAAAAAAAAAAGGTAATCACTCATTATATTGAATTTAAAAAAAATATATTTTGCCCTCCCCCCTGTCCATTTTCTACCTACCGTCTATGCTACTTATTCTCTGCACCTTCTTCCCCTCTTTCCTCCTCCTCCCACTCCCCTGTTGATAACCCTCCATGTGACCTCCACTTCTGTGGCTCTGCTCCTGATCTGTCCACTTAGTTTGCTTTTGTTTTAGGTGTGGTTGTTAACAACTGGGAGTTTGCTGTCCTTTCACTGTTCATCTTTATCTTCTTTTCCTTAGATAAGTTCTTTTAACATTACATAAAATAAAGGCTTGATGATGAACTCCCTGAACTTGACCTTATCTGAGAAGCACTTTATCTGCCCTTCCATTCTAAATGAAAGCTTTGCTGGATAGAGCAATCTTGGGTGTAGGTCCTTGCCTTTCATGACTTGGAATACTCCTTTCCAGCCCCTTCTTGCCTGTCAAGTCTCTTTTGAGAAATCTGCTGACAGTCTGATGGGAACTCCTTTGTAGGTGACTATCCCCTTATCTCCTGCTGCTTCTAGGATTCTCTCCTTCATTTTAATCTTGGCTAATGTAATGATGATGTGTCTTGGTGTGTTCCTCCTTGGGTTCACCTTCTTCGGGATTCTCAGAGCTTCCTGGACTTCCTGGAAGTCTATTTCCTTTGCCAGATTGGGGAAGTTCTCCTTTAGTATTATTTCAAATAAGTTTTCCACTTGTTGCTCTTTCTCTTCCCCTTCTGATGCCCCTATAATTCAGATATTGGAATGTTTAAAGATGTCCTGGAGGTTCCTAAGCCTCTCATTTTTTTGAAATGTTTTTTCATTCTTTTCTGTTTGTTTGTTTCTTTCTTCTTTCTGGTCCACTCCATTGATCTGGGTCTCAGTTTTCTTTCCATCACTGTTGGATCCCTGTGCATTTTGCTTCATTTCACTCAGTTTAGCCTTCATTCTTTCATCTAATTTGCGACTAAAATCAACCAGTTCTGTGAGCATCCTAATCACCAGTGTTTTGAACTGTGCATCCAATAGGTTGGCTATCTCTTCATCACTTAGAAGTATTGGCTCTGGGGCTTTGAGCTGTTCTTCTGCTTGAGCCATAATGTTTTGGTCTGTTCACACCTATTATGTATGAGGGGCAAAAGCTTAGGTGTTCACCGGGGTGGGGCAACCCAAGTCGCTGGGTTATGACTGGGGGTGGGGTCAGAGAGAACAATGGCATTTGTTGGGCACTCTGGTGGATTTTGGTACCATCTGCCACTTCCCACAAGTGAACTGGACCCTTCTGGTGCTGGTTCCCGGGTGTGTGGACTTGTATGTTCTAGGACCCTGCGGGTCTCGCCAATGAACACTCCTGTGAGGCTGGGCACCTCTCCTGGAACCTCAACCCCCAAAAGTTTTTCCAACCAGTGCTTTTAGGTTTTATTCCCCATAGCTGGGGCCCTGGGTTGTGCAGTCTGTCTCACTGACCATTTTTAAACCTGCCTGGTTTATCTGCACGCGAATGTGGGTCCGAGATCAGCCAGCCGCCTTGCACGCCTCATTGGGTTTGCTTGTTTTCTCCCCACGCCTGTGTCTGCCAATCACCGCCTCTTCCTGCTGGGACCCCTCTCCACTGGCCTCTGACTCCACTCCTCTCACCAGTCTGGATGAATGGTTCATTGTTGTTGGACTTCGGTACAGTTCAATTTTGTCTGTTTTGGTTGTGTTTTTGTTTCTAAATCTTTGTTGTCCTTAAATTTGGTTGTGTGAGGAGGTACAGTATTTCCACCTAAGCCTCTATCTTGGCCCGAACTGGATTTTTTGACTAGGGTTTTAATGAACTCATAGCATAGTCTCAGTAACATGTCCTACTTAAACAAACAAACAAACAAACAAACAAACAAACCCAGGAGTACATCAAGTAGAACAGCAAAATATGTTGCTAACCCCCCACAAAGAAATTACTCACAAATCAAAAGAATTTCCTTCAAGGTGATAAAACAGTCAATCATAAAAGCAAACAAGTTATGTCAATGTCAGAGCCTAATCATAAAGTAAACATACTCTGCATCTGTAGGGCTATGTAGAGCTGTCACTGAGCTCAATAATCACTCACCAAGGCATACCAGTAACTCCATCCCAGGGGGACGTGTTCCAATCCACCGGCATCTGGGGCTCCGTACTGAAAAGCAAGACAAGCTGGGCATCAAAGTCCTTAGACATGATGAGGCCACAAAGAAACAGTAAACTTGTAGAATCTTGCAGATCAGTCCCTTAAAACATAGCAGGTGCTAGCTTTCCCCAAACACACAAATCAGCAAAAAATTAAAAAATGCTATAGTCCTAGTAGCTTCTGAAGCAGGAGTTGGCAAACTATGGGCCAAATCTAGCCTGCCAACTGTTTTGTATGGCCAGCATGCTAAGAATTTTTTCCCCAACCATTAAAAAAATAAAGACCAATCAAAAGAATATTTTGTGACATGTGACGGCTACATGAAATGGAAATTTCAGTGATGATAAAGCTTTATTGGAACACGGCCACACTCACTAGTTTGCGTAACATCTATGGCTCCTTTCACGCTACCATGGTAGAGTTGAATACTCGCAACAGAGACATACAGCTTATAAAGCCTCAACCATTCACCTCTGGCCCTTTACAGAAAAAACCGTGTGGCTTAGGCCACAGGGCTCATTTGCTGAGCTACTGATGGCCTAGGCAGGGTGTCAAACTCATTTTCACTGGGGTCCACACCAGCCTTGCAGTTGCCTTTGAAGGGCTGAATGCAATTTTAGGACTGTATAAATGTTACTGCTCCTTAACAGTTAAGTGAGAGCTCAGCGCTGCTGCTGGGCAGAAACGAGGTGCCGGGATGGATAAAGTAAGACGGAGGGCCAGGTTCTGCCCACAGGCCTTGTGTTTGCCACCTGTGGCATAGGCTGAATAGTCCAACGGACCCTGTGACTAACGACAGGGAAAATAATCCAATTATGAGCTACTGGCCTACAGTTTCAGTTGTCCTGCTGATGAAATCTACTTCTGGAACTCATTTTTTCTGATGAGACAAGTCAGTGAAGAGACCACAGAATCATTCCATTCTATTTCAATGAAGTTTAATAAAGCCCATTTAAGGCAGAATTTAATCCCTCAGAACTAAATCTTCGCCAATTTAAAGAATTTCTCCAAATTTTATATATACACTAGATGATCTTCAATATGCAAAATAGCGTAAGTTCTCTTTACGACCCATGGCTGTAACCTAATAACCCAGTACTCGTACTTATTTCTCATGAATCTTTTCAAATTGAGTCATCATCCTTCAAACCCACAAGGCTGAAAATTCCCCTAGTTATTGTGGGGAGGGGGAGAAGTAAAAGAAACTTCAGATCAGATATGAAGATCTCTAACAAACACAGATAAAATATGTAAGAGTATGTACTTCTCCTGCTTGTCCTGAATGCCCAATTTTATTGGAAGAGGTGACCCCAAACACTCTCACATACACTATTTCCTGTAAGCTCAACCTCCGACTAAAAGCCAAGGCCAGTGTGGTGGGTGTGAGGCCGGGAAATGTGGCCTTGGCAGGTCACGACGAGGTATCTCCCCACGCAGGCCCAAGAGGCCCAGCACGCGCACCCCTCAGCCACCTGCCTAAGTGGCCTGACCATCCCTGGCTCCGGGTGCTTTCTCTTTACCACTGATCTGTTCACATTTTGTTCCTACTTTTCGGGGTAGGAAATGAATTAAGCACAAACTGCTATGATTCAGGAAAAATACTAAGAGGAAAACATTCTTCATTCTGACCCCCGTAAAGGGGAATTAGAAACGAAGAGAACATGACAGCCACATGATGAGCAGACATGAGTTAAAAGGGGAAGACACCCCGCACAGCAGCAGTCCTGGGATCATTTTTCAACAAATGCTCTTGAGATTATCTAAAAGAAAAAACTTAGTACCCAAATGATATAAATATGTTCGTGTAAGTTCCTATTTATGGGCTAGGATAAAACAACACTTGCCAAAAATCCCTTAACATGACTTGAATGTACACTTATCAAAAAGCAATTAACATGAATTATATTAATTCACACTTAGAAAGCTGTTTTTTTTTGTTTCTGTTTTTTTTTAAGGGAATAATGAGACCATTCAACGTACCTCATTTAAGTATTTCCCTGCAAAAAAGGTTTGATAACCACACATTGATCTGAGAATTGCTGGGAAAGTATTTGGTTCTTGGATCTTCTGCCAAGACCTGCTACTGCAGTTTCCCTCCAAAGTGTTGTTAACAACGTGATGATTATGTGGGTACTTCCCCGTCAGGATACTGGCACGGCTCGGGCAGCAAAGAGCACTTGGCACATACTATAAAGGAGAGAGAAGCGAAAGGGACAAAGTTACACAAGAAAGATGGATTTCTCATCATTTCTAAAGAGAGTAAAGAAAGCTGCTCCATAGTACTCTAACTTCAAATTTTTAGTTTCCCACGGAATATTTTCTTTATGCAATGACACACTTTCGAGCTGTTTTAAAAGTAACATAGTGGAGATAGTAAAGCAGATTAAACAAACCAAGAGAAGAGATTTGCTTTCAACTGGTTTCTTTCTACAGGGTAACATGTTATTCTAACCTCGCCTCAAAGAAATATTTACATGCAAGGAGCACAATGTGGTGGGAGCTAGGTCTTAACCAAAGATAAAGAATACTACTTGAGCCCTGGCTGGTGTGGCTCAGTGGACTGAGCACGGGCCTGGAAACCAAGGGACTGCGGTTCAATTCCCAGTCAGGGCACATGCCTGGGCTGCGGGCCTGGTCCCCAGGAGGGAGCATGCAAGAGGCAACCATGCATTGATATTTCTCTCTCTTTCTCCTTCCCTTCCCCTTTCTCTAAAAATAAGTAAATAAAATCTTCAACAACAACAACAACAAAAAAGACTACTACTTGAATTTAACGTAGCTGAGAAGTAGAGCCTCATTTTCAGACTGATTTGTAGCTTTATAATTCCTGTATCACTTTATACATGGAAAACAGATTTTTTTCTATTTTAATTATGCTTCTGTTAGCTATTGTCACCCACAGACTTACCCCTTTCTACCCAATCATTTTTGTATGACTGTAAATACACATCGCCAAGCCATTTGTTTAGAAGGGTAATACAACACTAGCTTATACTTGCACACCAGCAGGAAAGGCTCATTTGAGCACACCTCTGTATATTATCCCTTGTAAATACTTATTATGTATCTGGCTTTTCATATTGGATTTGACACTTTAAAATACTGGTGAGGATGAGCATTCTCCATATGCACACCAACCAACTGCGTTTACATGAATGTTCATGTGCTTTGCACATTTTTTTATCCTGGGCGATTGTTGGCCTCTTGTTACATAAAAAAAAAAAAAATTTTGAGTTAAGGAAGGATTCAATCATGTTACAATACTTCCCATTTTTGTGTTTGCCTTTTAATTTTGTTAGATATTTGACTTTTGTTATTTTTACATTGGCAACTCTTAATTCTTTCCCATTTTTGTTTCCTGACCTATTTTCTGGCCAATGTCATACCATTTGCTGTATCTTCATGTACATTTTAGTATCCTGCAGAGCAATTTCTTCCTCTAAAAAAAAATTACCCTAATTGTTCTAACCTACTTATTATTCCAGGTAACTCTGAATCTCTTGTGCAGCATAAAAAAATCTTATTGGGATTCTGATTAGAATAAACATTTTATAATCTAATGTCTTCCCATAGAAAGTAATGTACATGTCTTCGTAATAACTAGTATTATAAAGTTCTGTAACTTTATTTATAAAGGTCTTAAATAACCACACTGGCCACCACCACTTCTTCCTAATTTATTTTTCTGCTATGAAAATGGGATCTCCCTTTCCCTGCCAGTATTTCTCTAACCAGTTATAAGAAGAAAGTTAAAAAATTTTTTTCATTTCTACCTTACTAAAGTCTATTAAAAAGTTTTCCAACAATTCTCCTACTTTCTAGGTAGAAAACCCAAACAAGTAGAAACAATAATTTTGTCATTTTCCAATAATTTTACCTCTTAATTCCAAATGACTTATGCCAGTGACTAGACAATTCAGAATGTTAGGCGAGAGGTATTACACCTGTCTCACCCCTAACAGCAGTGACGAGTCTGTCCCTTAACCATAGCTGTGCTATTTGTTTGAAATATTCATCATAAGGATGTATTCTTCCAAAAGTTTAATAAATTACTGGAAAGGATGCTAAAATTTCAGAGGATTTTCAAGCATCTGTTGAGATTAACATATAATTGGCCTTCTTTCAACTACCGACCCCATGGTGGTGGATAATACAATAACCACAAGGTCGAATGGTCAGCCCTCTGTCTCTGTGGGTTCTGCCAGAGATTCGACCAGCTGTGAACTGAAAATATTTGGAAAAGAAAAATTAAGTTGTTGCTGATGTAACCTGTGTAGTTAGATCTATGATGTGGTTGCATCTGTACTGAACACATAGAGACCCTTGTCATTATTCCCTAAACAATACAGTGTTACAACTATTTACATAGCATTTACATATTAAATATTATAAGCAATCTAGAGATGATTTAAAGTATACAGGAATATGTGCACAGGTTACATGCAAATACTATACCGTTTCACTTAAAGGACCTGCGCATCCACAGACTTGGTATCTGGGGGGCGGGGGTGGCGGGGTGGCCCTGGAACCAATCCCTCAATGGATACCAAGGGATGAGTCCACTTACTCTAAGTCAGGCACCAAAGAAGTGCTTGTTTTACATGTATCATTTCACTTAACCTCACAAAAACCCTGAGATAGGTTTTAGTACCCCCGTTTACACACGTGGAAAACAAGGGCCAGAAAAGTTAATAACTTGGCCAAGGTCCCACAACAAGAAAAGAGGCAGAGAGCGTTCGAAACCAGGCAGTCTGGCTGCAGAAGCAGTGCTCTGAAGCAGTATGCTGCTGTTCGGTGGATTTCTCAATATTAAGCTAGGTTACCACTCCCTTGTGTGTGTACATGGTTCTTTAGTTTGTTAGTGTTTTGAGTCTTTGGATCTATGTTTAAATACATGTTTATATTTTACACACACACTGAGTTGCTGCTGGTTTGGTTTTGCTGCTATTACCCTTCTCGGTCGGGGTTGGCTGTGAGGGTTAACTGGGCTTTGTCAGGTGGCCTGCAGGCTGTCGCCACAGAATGCTTACACAGCACGCATGTTACCTGTTTCTTACACTCCATCTTCACACCTCAAACAGTCAGGTCTGAAATAAAATTCTCTGAGCTGCAGATCAGACAGGTTTAGAAAATACCTGCAGCTGATCTTCAATTGGTGAGATATAATATTTCAATTAACTGACTTTCTATCATGTTAAAGTCCTTCCTTCACAGCAGGCATGTAACGAGGAATAAAAAACCACAAAGACTACCCAAATGAAACAGTTTCTTCTCAGAACATAAATACGGTTGAAGTCTAATAAACTTAAATAAGCTTCAAAACTTACAGCACTGGAGAAAGTCATCCCCATCTCTCCAATGAGAGCCTTGGTTTTCTTTAGCGGTGTCTGTAAAGTAAATAATTATCTGTTAAACTGTTTCTTCCAATAAACTACAAAACACAACCCAAAATTCGTGGGTTCTGCATCTTAACTCAACCTCTATTCCCAACCAATCAGCTCCATCTAATACTAAGACACAGCCAAGAGAGGGATTCTGGAATGAAACAAATGGGCTTAGTCAGCTCTTTCCCATGCAAAGGGTCAGCGTTTCATAATGCTCACAGAAGGGGCAAGTTCACAGCCGACGGCTTTATTTTAGCAGGGCTGATGTGAATGTAATGGAATTGTGTGCCCATGTCTTGTCACCAGCCCCCTCATGAGACAGGGCAGAACTATCTCCATGAATTCATCTTCAGAAGCAGGATGTAGGAAATCATATAACAGGAGCCTTCTATCTTTTAAAACAGTTACAACACTTAGGTTCTGAAAGCAAGAGTAATTAGTATCAAATCCTACAGTGAGGGAGAAAATGTGAAGATGGTCATTTAATATAAATAAAAAGGAACATAAATCTGAATAAGTAACCTTTTATTCAGCAATGAAAACCATCAAAAGGCTCATTTTAGTTGTATTATGAGAGTCAGTAAGCCCCAACTGAATGCAGCTTTAAGTGTATTTTGCTGTTTAATAGTTCCTTAAAGATAATCCAAATATATAACTGTGCTAACAAGACCCTCGTTTTCAACATTGTGTAAATGACTTTCCCCCTTGTTTTACATGGTAGAAAACCTAAGGAAACCATAACCTCAGAAGGATGAGAATTCTTATTCAAGAGGAGCTTTGATAATTTCATGAGTTGATGCATTTCCCCAGGAAATGCTCGAGATATGTAAGGTCTGAGGTAACCTTCAGAAGCAATGTCACCAGCCATAATCTCCCATAAGACATCACTGGGTGCTACCCTCAGATACAGAACACTTGGCTGAATAAGACACTAGAAGGACGAAGAATCTGAGCTGCAGTGAGGACATAGGGAGGAGAAATGAGAATGCAAAGTGTAAGTGAGGAAAAGGAACATGTGAGTTGATTATACGGGACTTACTCATCTAACTGTCTGGTAAATATGCAGTTACTGAGGAATATCTGAGTTACGGGAAGACTATACTGCATGATTATATTTGTTAGACACTTAATTTTTGCCAGGCACTGGTCTTGGCAAAGGTGGACCAAAGAGAGAAGGTCCCTGCTCTGATGATCTTAGTATTCTTGGGGACTTAAACAACTAATGGATAAATAAACAATCATTTGGGGCAGTGAAAAGTGCTATGAAGAGGATAAACCAGGATGATGTACTCACAGCTGGTGAGACGAAAGGTGGAAAATACTTCACATGGCAGGTCAAGAATGGCCTCTTTCGGGAGCTAACCAGTGCTTCTCAGCACTGGTAAAGTTTATCACATGATAAAGGGTCAGCCATGCAAAGATCCAGGATAAGACGTTTACAGGAGTGAATAGCAAGTAGAAAGGCTGCCAGACAAGGAAAGAGGCACATGTGAGGACAGAAAGGTGGCCAGGGCGTCAGAAGCAATGCAGTAACGAAAGGGGGTAATAGGATAAAACAAGGTCAGGGAGTTAGGCAGAAGCCAGAGGATGATGCAGGGCTGCACCAGAATTGAGAGCGCAGTGTAAGAGATTTATTTTAATAGCCATAAGCATTAGACTACAAATAGTAGTACAAATGATAAGCATAAAAATCTGTGCTTGGTCAAACAAGTCCCAATGAAGAGCCCACACTGCACTGAAAATGTGTGTGTGTGTCCATGCTAACTAACATCGATCCTCAGGATCTAAGCAAAGCTGGTGGCTGGTGAGGTTAAGGCCATACAACATTCTCTATGAAACAGCCAATCTTGTACTTACAAAGAAAAATCCTTTCCATAAAAACCCTAAGGGGGAGTCATTTATTTTCCTAGCTACCATGTACACCAGGGATCAGAAATAAAGTTTTGACAAGTCTGATAATTCTATAGTTAACTTTTCCTTTTTTAAAAAAATGTCTCTTTTTAATTTATTTTATTTTTTTAATTTTTTTTTCAAGATTTTATTTATTTATCTTTAGAGGGGAAGGGAAGGAAAGAGGGAGAAAAGTATCAGTATATGGTTGCCTCTCGTGCATCCCCTGCTGGGAACTGGCCTGCAACACAGGCATGTGCCCTGACTGGGAATTGAACTGCGATCACGTGGTTTGCAGGCTGCACTCAATCCACTGAGCTACACCAGCCAGGGCCTAACTTTTCCTTTCTCAATAGAAAACCACTTTGTTTTAAGTGAAGCAAGGCATGATGTGTTTAGTCTTACCCTACCTTTCATTATGGCCCCTTCCTTCACATCCTTGAAATTTTGAAAAAGTGACCAAATGTCACTTTTTCTAGAGTGAATAATTTTAAAAAGAGCAACCTGTGAAGAACAGTATGTTTTCACATCATAAATCACATTCAAATAAAATCAAGAAATAAATACATAGGAACAGATTCTTGGGAGGGTATGCCTAAAAACAAAGTCTCACAGATGATACCTGCAACAAATATAGTGAAATGTTAAAGACAATGCTACCACATAAAATACTATTTCAGCCCTGGCTAGTGTGGCTCTTTTGAATGCCCACCTGCAAACCAAAAGGTCACTGGTTCGATTCCCAGTCAGGGCACATGCCTGGGTTGTGGGTCAGGTCCCTGGTTGGGGGCATGTGAGAGAGAACCACATAATGATGTTTCTCTCCCTCTTTTTCTCTCTCCCTTCCCCTCTCTAAAAATAAATATAATCTTTTTAAAAAACAGACTATTTCAAAGACGAAAGCTTCCACGTTAAACCATGATCATTGAAATGTTATAATCCTTTGTCCTTATTTAATCTGGGGGATTGAATACCATTTTGCTAACTATGGTGGCAAGTCACAATCTTTTGTGGGGTCAGCGACCCCTCTCTCCACAAAAATGAAGACATAAAGTCTTCAAAATATAAACACGAAGTATTACAAAGTATTAAGCAGTTCCATGACCACACTGGTGCTCCTGAATGCCACCTGAAGAACCTCTGATCTATGGTGTAAGTACCTACGCTGATGTGGGTATGTGGAATGACATCTTCAAGTCAGTATCATCACTGTGTTTTCAAACGGGAGAAAAAGCATGGGACTCTGAGATCATATGACATGATCCTTGGCCAAGTTCCTCAACTCCCTCAAAATTTTAGTTTCCTCTTATTTGAGACAAAGACAATGCGCACAACAGAGGACTCCTATCGTGACTGAAGCAGGAATAGGAAACGCCTCACACTCTGGCTCCAGGCAAAATCTCGAATGCTGTTACTGTCTTAGATCTTCCCCTTTGCGTCCTGTTTGACAGCTAGTCATAAAACATTCTGGAAAAGCCTACAAGAGAAGCAACAATTCTCCAGAGTTGGAGCACTAAATTCAACTAATTCCCTCCATTCAACCTTGACTCTTCTCTCCAGTATTAACTGACACCTATAAAAAAGAATCTGCTATGGTTTAAAGAAGCAAATGGGATTAACATGTTAAGGGGAAGTAACCTCAAATACATATATACACAGACCACATCTGTGGTCTACAAAAATTAAACTGAATTCTGAACAACATATCTTATATTTAAGCAATGAATTCTGTTAGCAACGGACATGTGCTAACATGTCTGAAAGCCTTAGCTTTTAATTATGCTTTAATCACTAAACTATTATTAATTTTTGATAGAGGTGGCTTGCTTTTTCTGGATAAAATACTTTTCAAGCACACAAAATGTATTTTATTTTCTTTTTTTAGAAAAACAAGGAGTTTTGTGAGGAGGGTAAGTGCAGCTGTTACAATGAAGGAAAAAAAAACAGTAAAAACCAGGAGGGCAATTAAGTCCAGACTCTTCAACGTCAATGCAGCTGAGGGGAAATTAAAAGGCAATGAGGCATAGGTGGCAGGAAGTGTGGAGTCAAAACGCAAGCATCTTAAACGTCAGCTAGAGAAGATTCTCATACTTTTGAACACAAGTCTGAGTAAGAAATATTTTAATTTACAATGGCATAATTTACAAAAAATATGGATATGTTTTTTTACCACCTGTACTTCACATATATTTTCTATTCTACACTATCCCACTGAAAAATGAAAATGCTGGTAGTTACTCACTAAACTGATTTCACAACTCACTTATGGGCTGAAATCAGCAGGATGAAGGACACTGACTGAGCTCGGGTGTTACCACACAGTAAAAGTAAGGAACCTCTTGCCTGACTTGTTTTCATAATCTCAGCATTTTGCTGAAAGCAATGAGAACTGAAAGGAAGAACACAATAAAGCATTGTGCTATTAGGCAATAAAGGCAAGCTACTTTTTGGGCTTGCAGGAATAGAGGTTTGGGTGGATACTCCTGAGGGTCGTAATCTAAGATAAAGAAGCGAAATTAACTCTTGGGGAAAAAATGAAGTCTCACGACAACACTCACTTGATATAAAACAGAACACTATTAATATTCAATGCATCAGCTAGGTTTTCAATTAGGCTAATTGGATTTTCTTGATTCATGTGCAGCAAAGTACACCCTGAAGAGCTCGACAACCTACCTGCCAAAGTAGTTCACTTCAGCACTTATTTTATAAATATCAGGCACAGACACTGTACCCAGGGACAAAGGCAGAGGTGACCTAGGTCCTCACAAAGGGAGCTGGACTTGTCCTCTAATCCAAAAGACCATCAAGACTTGCAAATTCTTAGCCAACACCTGCCGCTCATTGGTTCAGCCAATCCCTAACGGGCGTCCACCTGGGTCAGGGGAGCTAGTACCGCAAACTCCACAGCAGTGAGGTCCAGACTAGAAGCTCAGTGTAGCGCGTGTATGTGTCAACTTAGAAGAGGCGAGGGAGCGGGAAGAGGAAATGAGTCCTGAGGCCCCTCAGACCTGCGTAAAGGGCCTGGCGAAGCAAAAGCAAAACTACAGAATCAAGGCAGCCAGTTCAAGAGCGCGGGGGCAAGGATGAGAAAAGAGGGCAGGAAACCGGGGAGTCAGCCCGAAAGATAGAGGGGCGGGGCAGAAACAGAGACAAGAGTTACCATGCCGCCGAGCACTTCGTCCTGGTCGTCTGTGAGGATCAGCACCACGTTGGGCCTCCGAGAGCCCGCCGCCACCCGAGAGACCCCCAGGCAGCAGCCCAGCAGAAGCAGCAGCGGCGCTAGGCTGCAGGAGAGCTGGTGAAGCCGGGGCCCACCTGGGGCCTGAGGCAGCAGCCACATGGCGGACTAGGGCTCCGGGCGGGAGGCCCTGGGGACCGTGTGTTCCCACGCGCAGGTGGCTGAAGGGCGAGAGGCCGCAGGAAACGCAGGTTGTACGGTGAAGGCCAGGAGCTGGAGTCAGGCGTTTTCTCCCCAGGCGCAATCACGTGAGGCAGGCGGGGGCGGAGCACGCCGTGAGGTCACGCGGGCTGCCCCGGCGGGGCGGGGCCGCTGGGCGAAAGGAGGGCGGGCGGGCGGGCGCGAGCCGCTGGGAGGGGAACCCGGAAGTAGGCGGGGCTGGTGAAGAATATCGCCCCACGCGGGGTCCTGGCTTTCTTCGAGCTCAGGCTTCGGTTAGGTGGTGGTAGCACGTGTTTGTGAGCCCGTGGTGCAAAAATTAAAACAGAGCGAAGGTAAGATGAAAAGGAGGAGGGAATCAGCCAACAGCAATTAAGAGAAAGGACTATACCTACCAATTAGTAAGATCAGCTGGTGGGCAAAGTCAGCTTTACCATGTTTAATCCCTAAAGCCAATGAACGCTAATTGAGGACCCTTGTATTTAATTGTTTTTAATTTTTTTTTTGCGACTCAGCTCTTAAATTTGGAGCTGGATTCCAAGTCATCTCTCTATTCCCCATCTGTTAATAGTGGTTTAAAATAAAACAACAATTTGGGTATCCCGATAGCCTAATATTCCTCAGTGAATCTTCCACTATTTACCATAATATTTCTTCGTGCATTTTTGAAAGCCCTCTTAGAAGATGTTGGAGGATGTGTACTTTGAAAAAAAACAAACCCCCTGAATGTCATGGCCACATGAGCACATTAAGTGCCCTTTAGGGGGAAAGTTCCGTGAAACTAGGGCTCCAAAAATTGATGTGGTGACTCTGGAGCCTCTCACCATGGCCCTCTGCTGAGGTCTATACAAACAAACGCCCCTGGCAAGATGAGCTGTGGAGCCTCATTCCCAACTCAGAACAATACGCTGAACCTCCTGGCTCCAACAAGGTGTATTTTCTCCAAGCTGCATCATCCCACACAAACAAGTCTTTCAAAACTTGTGAGGAAACTATACCATAAAGTAAAAATAATTGTGGAAGTACTTCAAAATGTTGTATATTCAACCGTAAGTCTTAGGCAAAAGAAGTGTTACCCTAGTTTTCTTTCTTTTTTTTTTAAATTTTATTTATTTATCTTTATAGGGGAAGGGAAGGGAAGGAGAGAAATATCAATGCATGGTTGCCTCTCGTGCGTCCCCTGCTGGGAACTGGCCTGCAACCCAGGCATGTGCCCTAATGGGGAATTGAACCACGATCTTTTGGTTGCAGGCCGGTGCTCAATCCACTGAGCTACACCAGCCAGGGCGCCCTAGTTTTCTACCTGGTAGTACATTCTGAACCAGTGACCCAGAAAGGGGATCCCATGTAGAACCAGGTCGAGTTGAGGGAACAGAGATTAAGTTTAGGGAGTCTGAGGCAGCTGGAAGTTGTGCAGCAAAGCTTGAAAGAGGAGGTAGCTGTGTAGATGAAAAGTTCCATAAATCTGCATAGACGTCCTTTTGAGACTTTGTTGAACACCAGGGTGTATGTGCACAGGATGAAGGCACCATAAGGTAAGACAGTGATTGATTAAGAAAGAATAATTCTCAAAGGAGGTGATGTTTGAAAACCAGCCAGAAAAGAAAGTCTTCCGTAATCATAAGGAGCATTCAGCTGAGAACCAGAAAGGTTATACGTTAGTAGTAGAGCTAAACTAACCTAAGTGAAAAGTACGGTACACCTATGATAACAAAGTTTAAATACAAGTCTTAAAACATCAGGATGATCTGCAAGAATAATAACTTGCCTGCCAAAACAAGATCGCCACTCTTTAGGGAAGGAAAGACTGCAAAATCTAAATACTCAGTAATCTGAAATTCACAGTGCCTTGCATCTAGCAAAAAAATGGCTACACAGACCCCCAAACAGGAGACTATGTCCAATAACCAGGAGAAAAATCCATCAATAGAAACAGGTAATAAATGACAGAGATGAAGGAATTAACAAATCAAGGTGTTAGGACACCTACTATAACCATATGTCATAATATAGTCTAAGCAGATCTAGACTGTCTGGGTATCCTAGAGAACATCATATCCATCTGTCACATTGATGACATCATGCTGATCAGACAGGATGAACAGGAGGCATGCTGGAATTGTTGATATGACACATGCTTTAAAAGGTGGGTGATAGACCTTATGAAAATTCAGAAACTTGGCACTTCAATAGAGGATTTTAGGGGTCCAAGATGTGCCAGGAACAAATTGCTATATCTTGCATTTTTTTTTACTACAAAGAAGAAAACACAGTGTTCGGTAGACTTTTTTTTGTCTTTTTTATGCAACCCATCCTAACTAGGAGCACTGCCTCAGCCCATATAGAGTAGCTCCCCCTTCTCTCCAGTTTTACTTTCAGCAGTTTCAGTTACCAACAGTGAAACATGATCAGAAAATATTTATTGTTTTTTTTTACAATTTTTATTTATTTATCTTTAGAGGGGAAGGAGAGAGGGAGAGAAACATCAATGTATGGTTGCCTCTAGTGTGTCTCCTGCTGGGACCTGGCCTGCAGGGGACTGGCCTGCAACCCAGGTATGTGCCCTGACTGGAAATCGAACTGTGATCCTCTGGTTCGCAGACCTGTGCTCAATCCACTGAGCTACACCAGCCAGGTGATCAGAAAATATGAAATGCAGAAGTTCGTTTGATGGGGAAATAAACAATTCACAAGTTTTAAATTGCATGCCATTCTGAGTAGCTTGAAATCTCACACCAGTCCCCCTTTGCCCTACATGGGGTGTGCATCTCTTTGACTAACTCACCAGTTAGTCATTTGGTAGTTGTCTTGGTTATCAGGTCTACTGTTGAGGTTGCACAGTGCTTGTGTTCAGGTGACCCTAATTGTACTTAATAATGGTTCCAAAGCAGAAGAGCAGTGGTGCTGGCAGTTTGGACACGCCGAAGAGAAGCAGTAAAGTACTTCCTTTAAGTGAAAAGGTATGTATAAGAAGAAACATAGAGTTAGGGTTCGGTACTCTTTCCAGTTTCAGACATCCATTGGGGGTCTTGGAATATGTCACATCCCCCCCCCACAAGGGGACTACTGTACTGAGTGTTGTGAAAGGCTGCAAGCTTCGAGTGGTGCCTGGAGGGAAAAAGTGCTCATAGCAGACAGGGCTGGCTACGTAATCTGTGGGTTCCAGTGCGAAAGAAAAATGGGGGGCCCTTTGTTTTAAAAAAGCAGGAAAAAAGTGCCATGGAAGCTACTAAAATATGAGGCCTTTTCTTTTAAATATTGTATTACTTACTAAATGCATGTTATAGTGATAAATAAGTAACACCATAATCTTACAAATGCAAAAAGTATTTTGGTGTTATAATTTATATAATATAATAAATAACTAATGACACATTATTAATATGATATCTTGATTGATTATATGACTTTTTCTGGCTTGCTTTCCTGCAAAGTTATTTCATAGGCCATTAAAATGCATACTTTTAACAACTTCTTTTTTTTTTTAAGATTTTATTTATTTATCTTTAGAAGGGAAAGGAAGGAGAGAACATCAATGTATGGTTTCCTCTCCTGTGTCCACCGCAGGGAACTGGCCTGCAACCCAGGCATGTGCCCTGACTGGGAATCGAACCGGGATCCCTTGGTTCACAGGCCTGTGCTCAATCCACTGAGCCATACCAGCCAGGGCAACGACTTCATATTTTTTAAACAATTTTTATTCCCTGATTTTAGAGAGAGCAAGAAGAAGAAAGAGAGAGAAATATCAATATGTTGTTCCACTTATTTATGCATTCATTGGTTGATTCTTGTATGTGCCCTGATCAGGGATTGAACCCACAACCCTGATGTATCTGGACAACACTCTACCTGGCCAAGGCTTACAACTTCATTTTTTTTAAAGATCTTATTTATTTATCCCTAAAGGGGAAGGGAAAGAGAGAGGAAGACAAATATCAATGTTTGGTTGCCTCTTGTGCACCCACAGCCCAATGCTAGGAACTGGCCTGCAACCCAGACATGTGCCCTGACTGGGAATCGATCCATGATCCCTTGGTTCACAGGCCTGCGCTCAATCCACTGAGCTACACCAGCCAGGGATGCAACTTCATTTTTAACTGATATAATTGAAAGCAGTGTCAGTTGCTCTTGGCAAATACATTATTGTCAACCATTTTTTAAAAATCCTCACAGAGGATATGGTTTTTGATTTTAGAGAGAGGAAGGAGAGGAGGAAAGGGAGGGAGAGAGAAAGAGAAACACCAATGTTAAAGAGAAACATCCATCAGTTGCCTCCCACTGGGGATCGAACCTGCAACCTAGGTTTGTGCCCTGATGTGGATGGAACCGACAACCATTTGGTGCACAGGACGATGCTCCAACCCACTGACCCATCCAGCCAGGGCTCAAAGAGCCTGTTTATGCATTCTGTCACTGCATCTTCAACTGTAAGAGCAATTAAGTTTAAATTGTTTTCATCATTAACAACTGGTTCGTCAGGAGTTTCATATGAAAATAATGTTCTTTTCCATCATATGTGGCAATCTTTAGCCCTGGCTGGTGTAGCTCAGTGGATTGAGTGCGGACCTGTGAACCAGAGGATAATGGTTCAATTCCCAGTCAGGGCACACGCCTGGGTTGCAGGCCAGTTCCCGGCAGGGAATGCACAAGAGGCAACCACACATTGATATTTCTCTCCCTCTCCCCTTCCCTTCCCCTCTAAAGATAAATAAATAAAATCTTTAAAAATAAATTTTAAAAAATGTGGCAATCCTTAAATTAATTTCTATCTATAAGCTTATGGACACTTGATTTGTCATGTTGCCTAAGTTTTCAAACTCTGAACAATTCTAATCATTCTCTGATATGCTTTGTTACAATGTCCATACATGTGTTTTGGGGGGGAGTAATAAAACATACTGCCTGAAAGCTGGCAGTTCCCATCCCAGCTCTCCAACACTTGTGCAAATGTTGCGAAAATGGAATTTGGGAACAAACTTCACCCCACAGAGGTCCCAGCCCTGGCGTCTTGGAGAGTCCCTTTTCTTTCTACCACTGTTGCTAACTGCTGCTTCTCCACTGCTCTCTCCACTGTTGCTGGGCTCTGGTCTTTGCCTTG